GAGTTACAGGCAGTTGTTAGCTGCCATATGGGTGCTGGGATTCGAACCTGAGCCATCTCTCCAGCCCCTTGATTAATGTTTTTAAAAACATATTTTCTAAGTTTAAAGTCTTTTGTCAGAAACAGTTGAAGACATGCCAAAAAATTGCCATCTTGCTTTGTTCTTTTTTTTTTTTGGATATAGTTTACTTTTTTTGTTTGATGTATGTGTAGAAAATAGGATTGTGGTATGTAGATGTACACATATACATATTTATATGTCTATGTAGAAAAAGTGATTATAACAGAAAACCTGAAAATTATAACACAAAAGAAACTAATCTCCTATAATATTAAATATTTAACTACTCTTAACATCCTCCCTGTGATTTTCCAGTGATTTTTTAAAAATGCCCACACATACATTTTTATTATCAAAATAATCTGCTGTCTACAATGTGGCAGAAATGGTTTCTATTTAGCAATGTAATCATAAACATTTTTCATGCTAATAAATATTCTTCCATGCCTGGTTTTGGGCAGCAACTTGATAGCTGACATCTAAATGTGCTATAATTTAATTGCCCTTTTCTTTCACATTTTATTTATTCCTGTATATTGCTGATGATATTTGACTTATGGTATTGCTGGTGTTAAAGATGCTAGAAAGGACTATGAATTAATTCCTTTGCACTAATATCTATGAGAAGGATAAATTTGGAGGCATTTTCCCTTGTTTTATTGTAGAATTTTAGATCTTAGAAAGGAGACTTTGGGAGTCACCTGGGATGGTTTCTGCAGTAGCCTTTTTCACAGGTGAGTCGGCTCTGTTCCCACTCACATGCAGACCACAGCCTTCTCCTTCTGTATGCTCTGGCTTTACACGCCCATGTATTGGGCATGAGGAACAAGATTCTGACAGAAATTGATTTTGAAAAGTTGCTTCCGAAACCTTTAGAAGCACTGTACTTCAATCAGTGTGATTGAGAATCTGGGAAGGAAGTTAGAGGTAGGATGCAGGCAAGATAGCACAGAATGCTGACTTAACTAATAGAAGCCAAGTCACTAATGCACACAGGCAGAGCGTGTTCTCTGATTTGCAAACTGCAGTTAGTCTAATTGATTTCTGCATACTTGTGGATAGGGATCTGCCCTCTTCCATTTATTTTTCTCTTGACAAGTAGGATGTGAAATGTTGTTCCATGCCTTTTTAATTTAAATGTTGCACATGTTGAGACCTGATCTTGCCAGCCATTTTAAGCTTGGCCCAAAACATAACACATTGTTGTTATTAGCCTTCATCATTTGGTTAGGGCCAACATTCTGCTTGGAACTATAAAGCAATATAAATCTCCTTTATAGACATAACCTTTTTCTGCCATAAAATGGACACAGTGAGAAGGCAGAGCTAAGTTTCCTTAGTGAGTTGCTTTGGTTGACCTCATGAGTTGAACTAGGTCAGAGGTACCCATTTTGGGAGTGTTCTTGGGAAGTAAGGTTTAAATTTAATTCAACATATATGTGTATAATGTCAGTCTGCAAATACTGTAAGAAAAGTGCAGGAGAAATTAAGATGAAGATGACAAAGTTCATGTTATTTGAGGATCTTATGATTGATATGAGAAAAGGACATATATAGTGAAAGTTCTGTATAGAGCATATACATGGATATACATGTATGTGTGTATACACACATGAAGAGCACAGAGAACTTAGAGGAGAAGTAAAGCATCACCTCACAGCCTACATTTGAGGCTACAGATCATGTCCTTAGAGCCGTGTGTATCCCATTCGGTCTGCCAACTGAGTAAACCATCTGTCTCACTCAAATTTATTATTTTTCAAGGATATGGTCAAAAATCCTTTTAAATGAAATTTTGTTTTTCATATTTATTATAGTTTTTGTCATACTATGTATTAGTTTTCAACCAGCAAATACTCCTACCATGGGTGTCTGTGAAATTTTTATTGTTTAATAATTTTGTACATGTTGTGATGGTTTGAATGAGAATGTTCCCCATAGGCTCCAAGTATTTGGACATTTTGTTCCCAGTCAGTGGTGCTGTTTTGGGAGGTCTTAGAGGGTATGGCCATGCTGGAGGAAGCACATCACTGGGGGTAGGCTTAGAGAGTTCTTAAGCCTTGCCAGATCTCGAGTCACTCTCTTGCTTCCTGTGCCTGTTTGAAGATGTGAGAGTTTAGCATCCACTCCTCCTCTGCCGCCATGCCTCCCCACCATGATGAACTGACTCTTGCCTCTTTAGAACTATAAGCTAAATAAACTCTTCCTTTTATAAGTTCTCTTGGTCATGGTGTTTCTGTCACAGCAACAGAAAAGTAACTAATACACATGTATACAATATATTTTAATCAAGTTCCCCCATTCCCTTCTCCACAATTCCTCCATCACACCTCTACCACTGTTCCCTCTCAACTTCTGTGTTCCTTATTTATTTTTACTCAGTCCACTCAGCACTGCCAGTATGTGCATTGGATCCTGGATAGCCTCTTAGGGGCCACATCCTTGAAGAAAACTGACTCTGCCACCATCCATTGCCAACACCTCCTCAGCAGGGGGTGGGACTTGGTGACCACATCTCCTATCTGTGTTGGGATTTTGTCTTGCTTGATCTTGTTTGGATCTTGTGCATGCTGTCACACCCCCTGTGACTTCATTTGTGTGACTTCCCTATTGTATACAGAAAACACTGTTTCATTGTAGTCATTTGCTGCCTCTGGCTCTTACAATCTTTCCACCCCTCTACTGAGATGATTCCTGAGGTTTGGGAAGAGGGGGTGTGATGTAGATGTCTCATTTAGGACTGAGCACTCTTATAGTCTTTTATTCTCTGTATGTTAACTAATTATGGGTCTTTGTGTAAATCACCATTAACTGCATAAAGAAACTTCTCTGATGAGGTTGAGGGATGCACTAATATATGTGTATAGTGATAAGTCATTATGAGTCTATTTAATACTATGCCCATCTAGCAGTATAATACTAGTAGGATCTCCCCCAGGGCCTATGACCTAGCTGGCCACGGGTTCTTAGCCCTGATAATAATGCCAGGCATGAGTTTCATCTTAAAAATTGGTCCAGTTATTTGAAATTGTAAGCCCCGGACTGCAGCAGTGCTGTCCAAAGAATGTTCTGTAATAATGGAAATGTTTGCCACAATTTCCAATGCCGTCATCATTGGCTACATGCAATACTGAGGACTTGACATAAGGCTGGTGGAATGGAAGAACTAAGTTTTTATGTTGTTTCATTTTAATTTAAGTAGCCACATGTGGAAGAGGCCACCATATAGAACAGTTGATTGTAGTTAGTAATTTTCCAAACCCTCTATCCTAGTTTTCTCTGCCCTAGATTCTAGTTTGCTTTCAAGACACAAATGGGGTAATACCCACTTTCATTTCTTCGTATATATTTCTGTTCCCGAGGGTCCCTTAGCTCAAGGGAAGATGTGTAATGAAACCATTTTTAAGAGCCTTTTCTAATGATAAATCAAAGGAAAGATAGTTCAAACTTTTCCCCAACCACCTTCTGATTCTCTGGACCCATAAAAGAGATTTCATTATATCTAGGTTGCATAAGTTAGATTGTTCATATCACATGATCCCTATTTTTAAAAGTTAACTATTTAATAGGCAGGGTATTTATGAATAATTATTAGAAACTCAGGATAAAGATCTTACTTTGTGGCTCTGATTAGGCAAAGTATGCTCCTTCTCATTAATTTTGCTCAAGATTTGTGAGGGTAATCAAATGGTCTTACCTATGCTTATTCTAAAACAATAGAATCCATAGACCTTGATGAGTTATATGTCTTTGTGTTGCTTCATAGCCTTGAAACCTTATTAGACCATCACTGCTATTACATACATTATAATGGCTTCTGTTAAGATAAAAGAATCATTTTGTATTTACATTGTGGTTGATTTTGATTATAACTATGGTGCTAGTTGAATCGCTAGGTAATTCTCTATTATTACTTTTTCCAAAAGGTTTTTGTCCTGCACTATTTTAAGACAAGCTGTAGGAAGAAGGTTTTAGCTTGTAGAATCAAAAAAGCAAATGATCAAAAGTTCTTTTGGACTCATGCTTGAAGAGTCACCATTAAAATAATAAATCCTTTCATGGACCACCTGGAAAGAGTTTGACAGACAAATGGCTTTCTGTTCAGAAGGGCTATCTCTCCCAGCTCCTGAGTATGGTGGTTACTCTTATGTTTGGGGATGGATTGGGTAAGAGAGATAGTGAAGAATAGAGTGCAAGAAGACTGTTGTAAGTTTGCCTCCCTCCCTATCCTATAGTAAATACAAAAGAATAAAAATGGATATTTAGACTTCTCTTATCCCCAAGGAAGAGGAGACCTATCCATGTCCTGTACCCCACCTCCTTTATAGAAATTAGAAAAGAGGTAAACTCCAAGCCCTGCAGCCTTTGGCAGATGCTCTAAAAGGGTCTTCCAGTTTGGAGTCTGTATTTTACACTCTGCTAGGTCTTCCTATGTACAAGCCAACAGCCTTCATTGCTCCCACATCTGAACAGCTTTGAGTAATTCTTTTCACAAAACAAAGTCCTTTTCCTTGATAGATCTATATAGAGAAAAACATAGGCATTTTTAGTCAGTGTCAAATCCCTTTAGTGCTAGTAGTTTAGCCATATAACTGCCAAAAGTATTTTGTGCATTTTCGTTATGCCTATAAAATTATACCAAATTACTGTGTCTTTTCCCTTTTCCCTTTTGCTGTTTGAGTCTCTCTTATTTCTTTGATTAGAATATCTTAGCCTCCAAGACTCTGATCTTCACTGAAGGAAACTAGTACAAGGCTAATCAGCTGTCAACAAACTCTGAATTGCTGAATGTTTCAATAATTGCCTTCAAACGTAGCAAGGATTTGCAGGTTTGATGAAATGCTTGTAAATGGTAGTTTTAGGGAAATCAGCCTATTTCAATATTACATTTCTAATCACTGTGCATTAATGCATCTGTCTTCTGCCTTTTTTTGTTTCAGTATCTACTAGAAATGAAAAGTTTAATCCTTCCTCCAGAACACATCCTGAAGAGAGGTGACAGTGAAGCAATAGCGTATGCATTCTTTCATCTTGCACACTGGAAGAGGGTAGAAGGGGCTTTGAATCTCTTGCATTGCACGTGGGAAGGCAGTAAGTAATTTTCTTTCTTTAAGAACATAAAAAGTGTTAGAACTATTTTTTCTCCAAGAGTCCATAATGAACAATGAGAATTTGTGTATGTGTGGCTCTTGTTTCCTGTGGTGACCTATCCTTAGGGCAGTTAGTTACTTAGTGCTCCAGATCCCCAGCAGTCGGGGCTGTTGCTATGGTAGTGCCATTTCTAGCTTGAAAATGCACCTTTATACAAGAAATAAGTGAATTGGGATACTCTAGAGGAATACTGCACCACCCTGAAAACATTCTCTGGAGATCTACACAACCCCTTGGCATCATATTAACCTTTGCCTTGGGATTAGGCCTTGTGCTAGACTCTGCTTATCACTTCTTATGGTTTTAGTTTTAGAGTTAGAGGAGAGCCACAGCTATTCTGTACTGAAGGAAGGCTGGACATCTAATATTTCAATACAAGAGCAGTGGCCATTGGATTCTGGCGTCAATAACAAATGCCTGTTAGATGGATGGAGGAATAAATTACTCTGGGCATGTTCTTCATGGGTGCTGTCATTTTGTGTGAAAAAAGCATGCTGTAATGGCAGGTGAAATGTACTCCTTGCCCTGGAGAAGTATGCCATCCAGTTGGGAAGAGTAAACAGCTGTCTGTGGTAGCTGCCTGGTGATTTTTTAGAAGGTAGAGGTCTGTGGGGTGGAACATCAAGGTTAATTAATTTTAGGAGACAGATGAGAGGTGAAAAAGCCCTGAAGAAGAGGATAGTAAGCAAGAACACTGTGTGAAGAGATAGCAAGTGAGCAGGGTTGTTTGGAGGCAGTAATTAAGGAAAACAACTCAGTACTATGCTGTTGGACAACATGAACACCGCAGCACTGCTAATACACCACAGCACTACCAGTACACCACAGCACTGCTAATACACTGCAGCACTGCCAGTACACCACAGCACTGCTAATACACCACAGCACCGCCAATATACCACAGCACTGCCAGAACACCACAGCACTGCTAATACACCACAGCACAGCTAATACACCGCAGCACAGCTAATACACCGCAGCACAGCTAATACACCGCAGCACTGCCAGAACACCACAGCACTGCCAGTACACCGCAGCACAGCTAATACACCACAGCACTGCCAGTACACTGCAGCACAGCTAATACACCGCAGCACTGCCAGCACTGCCAGCACTGCCAGCACACCGCAGCACTGCCAGTACACCACAGCACTGCCAGTACACCACAGCACTGCCAGTACACCGCAGCACTGCTAATACACCACAGCACTGCCAGTACACCGCAGCACTGCTAATACACCACAGCACTGCCAGTACACCGCAGCACTGCTAATACACCACAGCACTGCCAGTACACCGCAGCACTGCTAATACACCACAGCACTGCCAGTACACCGCAGCACTGCTAATACACCACAGCACTGCCAGTACACCGCAGCACTGCTAATACACCACAGCACTGCCAGTACACCGCAGCACTGCTAATACACCACAGCACTGCCAGTACACCGCAGCACTGCTAATACACCACAGCACTGCCAGTACACCGCAGCACTGCTAATACACCACAGCACTGCCAGTACACCGCAGCACTGCTAATACACCACAGCACTGCCAGTACACCGCAGCACTGCTAATACACCACAGCACTGCCAGTACACCGCAGCACTGCTAATACACCGCAGCACTGCCAGTACACCGCAGCACTGCCGGTACACCACAGCACTGCTAATACACCACAGCACCGCCAATATACCACAGCACTGCCAGAACACCACAGCACTGCTAATACACCACAGCACAGCTAATACACCGCAGCACAGCTAATACACGACAGCACTGCTAATACACCGCAGCACAGCCAGTACACCGCAGCACAGCTAATACACCGCAGCACTGCCAGTACACCGCAGCACTGCTAATACACCACAGCACTGCCAGTACACCGCAGCACAGCTAATACACCGCAGCACTGCCAGTACACCGCAGCATTGCCAGTACACTGCAGCACAGCTAATACACCACAGCACTGCCAGTACACCGCAGCACAGCTAATACACCGCAGCACAGCTAATACACGACAGCACTGCCAGTACACCGCAGCATTGCCAGTACACCGCAGCACAGCTAATACACCACAGCACTGCCAGTACACCGCAGCACAGCTAATACACGACAGCACTGCCAGTACACCACAGCACTGCTAATACACCACAGCACAGCCAGTACACCGCAGCACAGCTAATACACGACAGCACTGCCAGTACACCGCAGCACAGCTAATACACCACAGCACTGCCAGCACACCGCAGCACTGCCAGCACACCACAGCACAGCTAA